TCGTGGCGATGAAATAATTTGGTCTAGATGACTTAATTTGATTGGTGCGACTATATTTAGTTAAAAATAGGGTTACTAAATTTTAGTCGGTTTTAGGAACTAAATTTTGGTTCTTACAACCCTGATTTAGTTGTATCAACTAAATGGTTCTCTGGGTGTGCCAAATAAAACATTTTGTCTCTTATACGAGACTCGTAGCAGCACATGAATCAAAAAACATGCAATCTCCCTGTTTGGCAATGCGATGCACCCCCATATGAACCACAATACAACCCCTTCATCAGAATTACCGAGCAATTAAACGACCTCTTAAGGTAAATGGTGCGGAAGGAGCAGAGTTTAATTGTATGCGCCGGCATGCCGAGCGCAAACTACATACGAATCGAAGTCAACCCTTTCTTCCTTCCGATATGCGGGCCGTGAGCGCGATACGGGAGGCATGTTGTGTTTAGCTCCACAATACTGTTTTGAAAAGCAGGTACATCGCGACCTTATGAGGGTTTAATCTTTGTAAACTCTCTCAGCTACCATCAGCTTGGTGACGAAAACATCATGATCTACGGCTTGCCTCATCCCGTTGCATCCTATCTTTTCCCCAAATGCAGAGTCAATACTTCCGACTACTTTTACGGGTCGGCAGCGCTAGATAAAAGAATGAGGGTCGAATGGTTCAAGCAAACGCCACCGTGCTGCTGCTGCAAAGCGCGCGCAACTTGGGGTGAGCCAGCAAGGTTTCATTGCAAGTCACTAGATGGCGGCACCGCTGCTGCCCGATGGTGGCTGTGTCTTATACTTTATGTGGTGGTGTTCGTCAACCCTATTCGATGCGATGCCGACGCCGCGATACCCGCTATGTGCTGCACGTGATATTGTGACCATTCTGTAGGGGGCACGGGCCGGGCGCCCCCTGAGGAGCAACAAAGAATCTATCCCGCGTGTGTCTTATCTATCTCTCTCTCTGGCCCACTTTCATCCCCGCGGTGCCCTCACAAAGCACTGTTTATGCATTTGGCATGTATCGACACGGCGATCGGACAAAACGAACGTCATAGAGAGTTAGCTCCGAGGTTAACTGTTTGGTGGCATCTTACGAGTGCACCTGACAAAAGAAACTGCCTGGCAGTGTTCAACACCGAGCCACAAAATTGCCAGTATTTGATGACTAAAAACCTCAACATACACGTACATTTTTTACAGTTAGAAAGTCAAACACATGGAAATGTTAGGCTCAAAACAGTTAATCGTTTTGCTAGGCAAGGCGCTTTCGCAATTTAAATTTCTAGCCGCAAACGCGAAACACTTGAAATATGACAGTGTCGTTTGAAAATCGGAAGCTCGGTGTCAAAAGAGGAAAATTCGTTACGAAATGAAAGAAACACGTAACGATTTTCACAGTGTTGATCCGTGCCTCCGAAGCAGCGAGCGACCAGCCAATCCCGCCGGCTCAATCCTTTTGCATACCACACGTGCGCGCGCAGACCAACATCACACCCGCATACTCACGCCCTAGAGATCCGCCCGCCGCCCGTCTCATAAGAGAGAGAGAGAGAGAGAGAGGGTGAGACAGAGAGGGCAGGGGACCAGGGGGAGGGAGGGGGGAGTGCAAGAACACTGTTAGATAGTTGCCATGGTTTTTCCAAGCTTACCCTTGGATAAGGTAGTCCACCCGCAAGTCCTTGGATATTTTCCCCGCTGCCGCTTGGATCTCAGAATCCAAGGGCATCCTTGGATTTTTTCCCCGTTTTCGCATGGGTCATGCTTAAGCTCACAAACCTCGGAAAATAGTCCAATGATGAGCTTGGAAAAGCTGCGACCACCCGTTAGGGGATTGTTGGTGCCGCAGTATGGAATAACCCCTCCCCGCTGGATGGGAATGTCCATTCTCGTGCATGGCTTATTGTCGGGGGGGGGGGGGGGGGGGGGGGGGGGCTGCTCGTCGCGCTAGTCTGGATGGAAATTCCCCGCTCATGTGCTGTGTGCCTCTGTGCAAGGCAGACGCTCGTCTGCTTTTTCACTTCGTGCTAGAAAGTTGTGGTGTAAAGACCTGTCCGCGTACTCGTTCCAATTTCTCGAACAACCATGTTTTACGAGCCATGGTTTTTGTTTAATGTGTTCTCTAGGGACGAGTTCTGGCTCGTACCGCGGCGGGCAGTGATCGATCCCGTTTTTCGTGATTATAAATCGCTTTGCTGTACGTTTGAATTCGCGCGATTCACGCGCGCTTCACCCGGAAAACGGGCAGGGCGGAAGCCGGCCGGCAGCCGCAGCCTAACCTGCAACTAGGCCATGTGCTTGTCGTGTTGTTTGTAAACAGAGTCAGTATTTTCTCAGATTTTTGTTGTTTTTAACTATTTCTCAAAGTTTGAGTTATTTTCCCTTATTCACTTGGGTATAATGAATTAGTAGAAATGTTAGCAAAGCGATTGAAAAGACCGAATTGTTTAAAACAAATCAAATCTGAAAGCCAACCCCCTGCAACTCTCAAGAGAAGTTTTCTTCCAATCTTTTCACACAACTTTGTAATAGTCAAGGCTACCTTCAGTTATTTTAGTGGTTTTAGTATTGAGTGCATTTCAAGAAACAACATGCAGAGAAAAGTGTTGAACTTCTGTGTGGACCCAACCTGATCTACACTCTGGCAGTCACAAGGTATGTACTTACTTGCATTGTAGCACTAAGTGTGTTTGCTTTCTTTGCTCTTTAGAGTCATGCCTTAACAGTTCCCTGAAAAAGGCCCATGTCTAATGTAAATTTTAAAAGAGTTTAACTATTATATTGATCTGTTCTTAGGGTATCGACCTGCTGAACTTTTCAAACAACGTGAAGCGGCCCAGCCAGTATGAAAGATGAGACCAACTTTATGAAAATAGGTGAGTTGATCTGGAATGTTTACCTATTACATTGGAAATGATAGCTTTTTTTATCTACATCAATAGTTTGTGGTGCATGTTGTCACTTTAAGAAATATTTTAAAGAATTTTTTCGGTTGCAAATTATAACATTACATTTAATATATTCGCCTCTTAAATTTTGAAGTGTTAGGAGTGATACGTTTTAAAAATAATGATTAGTCAGAATATGTAACGTAGGTTTATGCTAATCATCAGTAAAGAAACCTTCACTTTACTGTTATCAACTGATGTATTCATAGGAAACTGATTTTTTATTCAAATGTGATAGCTGAGTTATATTTTTGTTCGAACCAAGGTGTTGAAAATCATCTAACTGTTACTAGGAAATTATATTTGTAGTGCTATTACCATAACAGCTGTTTTATAGGTTCAACATATTTAGCAACTTTCCGATCAGTCTTAAGCCGCTAATTGTGGAGGAATAGATTGTACCCTGTTGACATTGTGCATAAGAAATATTAGGGTGCATGTCATCACATGTTTCAATAAATACCAATCGGCTAGTTATCCTGGAGCTTTTACCAAAAAGCCAGAGTTTTATCATTTGCCTTAGTATTTGATACTCATCCCAATAAAACAACTTTATTTTTTATGAAATGTTCCTCAAACCATCTCAAATATTTTTGGTAAAACCTCCAGTATAACTTACCAAATGGCATTTAAGAAAATATCTAATGGTATGCACCCTAATATTTCTTAAGCATACTGAAAGGTGAAAGAAGTGGTAAGATTGAGTGAGACAAAAAAGAGATATTGAACTTCCTTACCCAGATTTTTTTTTAAAGTCTTTTTTTTACTTAGGGGGTCTAGTTTGGTGCAGATTTTTTTTCTAATTCTATTAATGTTAATGTTACCAAAAGTTACAAAAAGTCATTGGACAACCTTGTCATTAGCAAAAAAACACTTCAAAAAAGGACTTATCTGAACTCCAGCTTGCACGCAACATTCTTTCTGAACCTAATGATTTAAAAACTCCCCGTAGTGTTCAATTACATCAGAATATCTTAATCTGTAAGTTATGAGAGCCCTTATTAATAGTTTTTACCACAGATAAGTTTTGATCTATTACGTTAGACCAAAATATAATAAGGAGGCAAAACGGAAAAGAACTAAATCTTCCTGGGTCAAAAATCATGGTAGGGGACTCTTATAATTAATAGGTTTCAGGCTCCTGACTTTAAAACAAGTAACGGGGAGCTTGTAAGCCAGTATGTTCAGAGGGACTATTGTGCGCAATCTTAAATTCTAGTAAGTTTATTTTAAGTGGTTTTTGGCTAATAACTATGGTTTCCCATGACTTTTTCAAGCTTTTGGGAACAGGGATGAAATCAGAACAGTTTTCTGCACCAG